GTTGATTTTTTAATTTTGGCCACCCCTTTTAGTCTCCATCAATGCTCATCGTTCCATAAGGACATGCAAGCAAGAAACCACTGTGCTGTTCACGGTATTCTGGGCAAAGTATCATCAAACTTCCAGAAGCATTGAAAAAATAAGTGAACATGCGATGACGTACAAAAATATCCTTCAGAAATCGGAAAGGCTCATGCTCCACATGAACTCCATGTTGAACAAAAAGATAAATCCTATGCATAATTGAACTGTGTTTAAATTAAGAGCGAACTGGAAGATTTGTTCATCGACTAGTGATTCATCAGAGGCCTGTTGTTCTACTTTTTAAAAACGATATTTACTCAAACGTGTATTTTATGAAGCCATCAGGCTTTGAGGAGAACAATTATGAAACAGAGAAAGAATGTAAACAGCCTCGAAATACCATCCTATCAAGAAGAAAGTATCACATTTACAAGTGAGTTTTTTTATAACAGAAGCTAGCGCTTTTGGAATTTAGCATGTCTTTTGAAAGTATCCCTTGGAAAAAAGCTTTAGCAAAAGAAAAAGTGGATCTCAATTTAGGGCCTTGTGAATCCCGAGACTTTTCGATGGTTTTTGCTAGGACAGTTGAGGTCAAGTAGTAACCTTAGAATCCAGATGAGGATTCTCCCGAATTCGGCAATGCTGGAGATATGGGATTGCGCCTAAGGAGGTAATAGTGGTCAATTAGACATTCCGTTTTATCTCCTCTAAACGGCATTTAAACACTTCAGAAAAATACTCTTTCAAAAGTCATAGAAATGCATTTCTAATTTTCTTTTCATTCTATGAGCTAAAGGTACCTCTAAATGCTAGCTAAGGATTTTTGGAATGCATTTTGGCAAAAAAATCAAAATATGAAGACCAAGATGTTGTGGCCTCTGGTATGGTCGCAGTCTCCTTTCGATTTATAGAAGTGATTTGACCTCGTTGTCGCAACTTGGTCTTGTTATCAGGGCTGTCTTATAATCCCAAACTTACGCGATTTATCGTCCTGCCGTTTTGTTATTAAGTCAGAAATCCTACGTGATTTCCTGCCGGTCATGCTCTGGAGTTTTTGAAAATCTTCCGAAGACAGGATCCTGGCCAAAACACGCCGGAGCTTTGACTTAATATCTATAAACTTAAACAACTTATAACATTCAGTATCATATGTCTTAATTAATTTGTGAATAGAAGCATGGTGGAGATATTCACTAACCTTTTTCGAGTGTAGGGTCTCTTAAGGACATAGAACTTATGAGTGATATCATAACGTCGAAAACAGTTGGGAAAAGTAAGATGGGAATATTGAGTTACAATTGTATTCTTTGTCCGGCTGTATTGAGTGCATTGTTTGGCAATTCTACTACCATAGTTTAATACAATATATGAAGACCAAGATGGTGTGGCCTCTGTTATGGTCGCAGCCTCCTCAAGTGGGTTGACCTTGTTGTCGCAACTTGGTCTTGTTGTCAGGGCAACGAGTAGTAGACAACGAGGTCAACCCACTTCTATAAAAAAATCAAGTTAGACTTTTCAGCCAGGAAAAAATGGACAGATCTGTATCTTAAAATTTAATGGCCACTTGGAAAATTCACGTTGTTATTGAGCCACTCACGTCTTCCTCAGGTTGCAACTGACGAAAATAAACAATACTGGTGAAGATGATTCTTCATTAAAGCCTAACTCTACTCCCGAATAGCGGTAATACAGAAAGAGGAAAATCTAGAAGAAAAAGTAAACTGCAGCGGTCATCTATGGCTGAGCTAGAGGAAAGCATTGGGCGACTAATACTTCAACGTGTCACGTTGAACAGTGTCTTAAACCAGGCATTCGAATCAATATAAATGTACAATTTTGCTTCTGGCCTAACAAAAATAATCAAACTTCCCATTCATACAGCATTTTATGTGGGAATATACCAAGTCACCGGTCTAACTCTGGACAAAGTGCGTTCTTCCAGGTCTCTTAGACCATGGAAACAGCCTGCGAAAACAAGGTCAAACCACTTCCATACAACGAAAGGATACCACAACCATACTAAAGGCCACACCATCTTGATCTTCATACCTTGGTTTATACTCAAGTTTATCAGTACTAGTAGCACTGCAATCATACGCATTACCATCATCACGCTTCTCCTCCTCATAAACATAAACATCATCAATACCAGCAACATCATCCTAGTCATTAATAGTAGTAGTGCTGATGTATGTGATTGTCGAATTTGCCCAGATTGAATACCTTAAGATTTCCAGCAGCCGTCAATACTGACTTTACAGCTCGCATGCCGTAATCGTAGTGAGACTGACTGGAAAGCTGTTCAGAACAGAGCCGATAGGTGGCAACGATCTTGACGGCTAAAGGACGGGCGTTAACGAAGCCGCATGAGTAGAGTGAGATCTCAGCGATCATCGCGTAGTCCGGCACCATCATTGCTACGGAGCGAAAGAGGGCCTAAGCACACAAGAAAGACAGTAAAAGTAAAAATAAAAATGTAGAAAGATAAGAAAAAGTGCATTCTGCCCAGGGCAAGAGCTATGTTTCCTTTAATCACTTCAGCCAACATAATTCTACGACATGTGTTCACCCTATTACGTTTAAGGTGATGAAGGTCTCGTAAGTCAATTTTTCCCTAATCATATGCATAGAGCTGACCGCAGCCATCCATTTGCATGTAGACTTGCTTTCGCAAAAGGGGCTCGATCTGGCCTAGGTCTTATAAACACCTCAGCGGAAGTCGAACTATGATAGTGTAGAGTATAATCTCGACACTTTAACCGATACGTCCCATTGTCATGAGTGCCCTTGGGTCACAGGGCAGATGTGAATTGCAAGGAAGGTCAGGCATCTTCCATTATCACATTCTTTGTTGGGATTTTAGGTGAAGCAAAGTTGTATTTGTTATGATAATGGACGACATTACTTATTTTTCGTTCATAAGTAGGGTCTTGAGACTATGAGTGAATCAAGTGTATGAGATGTATTCACTCTGGATGAGAACACCTTTTGAGAAAACAAGGCTATTGCCAAATTTAATGGAACCGTCAGCTCTATTCATATGATTGTGGGACAATTCATCTACCAGTCCTTCATCGCCTTAACCGAAATAGAGTAAATACATTTCATTAAATTAGTTTACTGGTAGTCTTGAAACATAATATAATTATTCGAAGATATGAAAACCAAGATGATGCGGCCTTTTGTGTGGTCGCAGTCTCCTTTCGTTGTATAAAAGTTGTTTGACCTTGTTTTCGCAACTAGGTCATGTTGGTAGAAAAACTCAGAGGAAGTGTATTGTATGCATTATCATTTCCAGAGTCGGACCGTGGACGTGGTACTTTCCCAGACGTTCCGCCAGCATCGTAGTCGGCATCGTCAGTGAGTCTCGCCATTCTTAGCACCACACAACAACTCGTCACTTTGACGATGTGTAAGCAGTAATAATGATAATACTAAAACATTAGGTAGATGATGATTTTTAGAGTTCCTAGTATGCCTATTTTTATCATTTAATTGTTGCAGCTTCGTTATGCCTATAGAAAAAATGTAGTTCTGCAAAGGGTTG